GAACCTGAAAGACAGATCTGACCTTCACCTCAGTCTGCAGGATAAAAGCAACGGGATGCTTTGGGAAGAATTAAATAGGAAGCTCAAACTTTCCAAAATTAAGCACTTAACAGTAACACAGCTTACACAAGGGAGAAACATCAAACACGATCATCTAAGACTCCGTGTAACATTCACTAACACTGTTGACGTAGAGGATGTTCTATTGGTCGATCACTTGCTGAACTCAGAAGGGGACATTAGTATACTGCCTCATATACCACATTTTAGGTGTAATCTCAGGAACATCCCTAAGGAATCTCACGAGTTCTTTCGCAAAAGAAACATTATTGTGCAAGGTGTCCCATAAAACACGGACACTGGTATTCTGAAATAGAAGTTCATAAAGTAAACCTTGGAGCTTAAGAACGTATTAAATAAACAAATGGTACGTTTATCAAAGAAGAGAAGGAATTCTAGACCCCGGCTCATAGAGATAATCTCCTCATCTTCCAAAATGACGGCTGTCACTCCCTAAGCATTTCGTGCCAGAAGACGCGTTAACAACTGGAACCCACATGCATCTAAACAGGCCCCATGATGCAAGCATTAAGCACAAAAGCACGTTTGAACTGACTATTCCACATGTGGGCTGTCAAGAACGTAGAAAAATATAAAAGGTACAGGGACTATTATCCTGTGTAGGTGGGATGCCTATCTATTCACATATGACTTATTCAGACAGACAGAACGAGGAAGCTCACGAGTTTCAAATCAAAACCATAATCTGCTACATATGAACGCTGCGAGTATACCGAACAAAATGAACGAGTTCCGTAAACTAATTAACATTAGTAATACGCATCTAACGGGAATATCTGAGATATGATCATCCTCTTGAACTAAAGACCAGGAGGTGGCAATACCCGGTATGTCTTTGTTAAGCGAAGACCGAAAACAGTAATGATGAGCGGAGCCACCCTGTACCTACGATCGTGCTTGGTAGCACATCACGTGTGTATTCAATAGTTTATCAAATTTGATAAATCTGTATGGTGCTTAGCGAGATTGGCTAACACCTCGAGATGTCCAGTTGGAGTCATTAACAGGAAGTCTACTGCTGACACCGATTACGACAATCGTATGCTGGAGGGATTATCCCTCTCTATTCGCCTAGGGATACACATATTCTAGTTCTAGGAGACTTCAATCTTGCTAAAGTTAATTTGTTGAACACATGTACATTGGAGGTGACAACTCTACTGAAACTCGGTTCTTTAACTTCATTTAAGATTTTGGACTAATCGAAAATGTGAAGTCGGTAACACGGTGAAGAAACAGTAAGACACCGTCACGCTTAGACTGACAACTTCCAGATCCTGGCTCCCCTGAGAAATAGTGATCACACCGTCGTAGCCCTGAATTTAATCAGCAAAACTGAGCTAAAACATCCTAATAGCAAAAGATGTTAGAATTTTAAACGGTTGGATGTATCAGCTTTAAGGGACAATCTACAGCACGTGGACTGAGAAGTCCACCCTCAACTTGTTATGGATGCTCAGTGGGATTTTTTACTGCACGTGATCTTATGTGTTAAGAAAGTGTCAAGCAAACAGTCCCCGAAAGTTACAAAACATGACCTACAAGCACATAGGAACTTAGTGAGCTAAAAACAACGACAAACAATCAGAGGGAAAAAGTCATGAGGGAAATCAGATTAGAAAAGAATACGCGGGCGGTTAAAGCTCCTGAAAAGATTTTACAAATTCTAATAAAATTTAGTTGTTCTTGTGATCATCTTAGCACATTCTTTTTTTGAAAAGCTTTCACTCTGTCTGAATTACGTATCCTCGTTCGCCGTCGCTTGCTTGTTAGTGGTAAAAACGTTTCGGTAGGTTCTTGTGATAGTGCTTCTGTTCCGCTTTGTATCAGACTTGGTATTTGTTCTGGAATTTTACTACATCAGGGAGGGTGTCCAAAGCTTAACTAGTTCTTTCTGATGGCTCTTCTACGTTTCTGGTTCCCATGGCACATCCATTTTTATCCTTCTACGGCCACTTCAAAGATGACTCTTCCTCTCCCAAAGTTCTTTTGTAGGTCATGGATATACACTACTGACATTGTCTTGCGTAAGATGTCATCCTGTTGACCTTCCTTCCAAGTTGGTTTCATTGCGTCATTTGCTGTCCACAGCTTCCATTCTATTAGTGCTCCCCCCGGGTGACTTTTGCTGTGAAGCTCTATTGTTAGTGCTCCTGTAAACGGGTAAGAATCGTTAGATGATTTCTTTTACAGCCCACATCTCTCTTAGCTTTTAAAACAGCATTCTTGAAACTGTTCACAAAACGTCCAGCCTGTCAGCTAAATTGTAGATCAATAGTTTTTACAAAATGCTGTACGGCAGACACCTCACATTTTTTACTGACTAAACACCCCTATTAGCAGTTTTTGGCTCGAAGTGTAGAATATCGGTACATTCGGAAAATACACGGTAGAGGTGGAAGATAACACTGATATAATTTTGACATTCAGTACCGTCAGACAGTAAGTAATCACCCGAATACTAACGAAGATTCTGTTGTTGCTGTGATTGCTACCACAGATTACGCAAAAGATAGTTTCATGAATACAACGAGAGTCCTTCCTATAACGGCTTTCAAAGTAGCAGATGCCACACAAAGAGAGTCAGTGTTTCAACGGACGATTTAGTGCACAGCTAGTGGAAATCAACAAGATGAGGGGAGGATGGAAATTAAATATAAATCAACTGTGGTCGAGAGTTAAATGTAAGAAATTTCATTTAATGAGTGAGAACTAGTACGAAAAACGCAAAGATTTAAAGGATGTGAAAGAATATTTGCCACTGCCATCGGTTTTTCGACAATAAACTTATAAAACCGGCACTCAAAAATGCTTGCTTTAATAATAATAATATATTCTGAAAATAATAATTACCGAATTCACTCCAGTTTACAGGAATGACCAGTAACAAGATACTAGATTACGTAGATATTTTTGCGATGTAGTTAGTATGAAAAATTTGAGGATACCAGCCACCGACTCATGACGATATATATGAAAATGTTCATTAATAAATTTAATGAGTTTCAGTGAAATCTGTATAACTTTCTAAACTACATTCTAAACCATTACAGTAGACAGATCAATCTATTTAATTTGTACTTTATGAAAGAAACGCGACAGCGTAAAGATAAATTTCATTAAAAATAACAAGGGAATATTAAATAACGATGGAAAATTGCATCGACAAAGCGTAAAGCTAACAAAATGACACTGAAAATAACAAAACTGTACAACTAAAATACACCAGAAATCGAAAAACGAAGATAAATACATACCCTAATATGGACTGTTAAAAAATCAAACTAATATATTAGCATGAACCGATTGATGTTAGACCACTATTGAAAACCTGGACGCACTGGACGACCAAATCCTCCTATTGTGGGACTCCTCAGCAGTGCGCATCCACGATCCCGCTCATGAGATTTGAACCCAGGGCCTTCAGTCTCGCGCACGAACACTTAAACTACTGGACCACTGAGCCGGCATCCAATGGTGTTAATGTCTAACCTCAATCAATCCACGAAGTTGCGCGACCATCTCCCATTGTACTGAGGTAGACACCTGTTTCAACCTGACACAGATTAGCTCCACTGGTCACGGCTTCTCACCAGAACTCCGAGAATTTTCTCACGAAGCTAGTCACTAGTGAGCACATGATAATTATCAGTATAGGGGTTGTGGAGATTAAGTAGGTTAAGCGTTCGCGCGCAACACTGAAGGCCCTGGGTTCGAATCTCGTGAGCGGGATCGTGGATGTGCACTGCTGAGGAGTCCCATAATAGGACGATTTGGTCGTCCAGTGCTTCCAGGTTTTCAATGGTGGCCTAACATCAATCGGTTCATGATCACAATCAAAATTTAACAATCTCCACAACCCCTAAACTGATAACAAATAGCAGTAACGTAAATTGAACGGGAAGAAACGAATCTCAAAGTAATCAAACCTTTCAGTGTTGTTATTAACTAGACTCTTATTAAATTCACCTAAGATACAACACAATTTCAATGTACTTTAAATATAACAGGTCATATTTTCGTTTATTAAGTCAGCGACTGACTACTAATGATTGGATGAATTACTTGCGCTAATAATACTGATCATAAAGACAATTAGAAATAAAAAATTATAGGTTTGTTAAAATTTGAAAATGGAGAGATAATCGAAAATTTCAGGCTTTCTAATCAGACTATGTTGGAACTTTCAAGCTTAGAAAATCAGTAAATGTTTGAAAGGTATGTTTAGTTTCGATATATTCTGTGTAAACTACCTATTAATTTGATCAACTGAGCAAGGTTGGTGTTAGACACAGGTTACTAGGTAAAGGTGGAGTACCATTTGATGAGGTTCCAAGCCTTCATCGACTGAGGTAATTGGGACATGTATTAGTTATACCAAACCACTGCCTACTTGGACAAGTGTTACTGACTGGTGTATGACTAAGTTGGAAGAAAGATAAAAGTGGCCAAACCAACATACAGTATCAGTTCACGAAGTCATGGACCGTTGGTTTGAACAATTTTAGTGGGTGAAGACTGCCTGGTTGGAATCCGTGTGATAACGGCGATCAGTGGTAGAAAATTTATGGGAACATCTCTCAGAATCCTTCACAACAGAGTAGATACACTTACTACCTAAATTCCTCCTGATTGTGTATTCCAGTATTCCTTCCTAAATACTTTTTCATTGTCTTTCCGAGTCATAGTCATTGCTACCATATTATTTCAATCCGTTTTGTCATCCATCTTGTCAATTTTGTCTCTTCATATTAATTTAGTATAGCGAGTTAGGCCAAACTACAAGTTGATGATTTTTGTCTCATTCATAGACATTATTTTCCACTCATTATCAATAATTATCAATTTAGAAAACTAAAAAAAGATTCAATTATTATCCATCTGACAGATAAAAAATAATAGGAGTATATACAACTTACAATTCGATTCTGGCTTCCGAAGCCCATGTAACAAGTGAAAATTTTCGATTATTATTATCTTTGATACTTTGTTCTAATATTACCCATAATGGATTAACTGGTCGACTAGATGAATTCATTATCATAGATTGTTCAGTTGAATCACATGGTAAAACAGCACCACCATCCAACAAAGATCCAACACCACGATAACCACCATTACTACTAATACTACTTATATGACTACTACCTAGTGAAGATAATGAATAAATAGCAGAATCATGTTCAACATTTTCCGACTGTAAAAAATTATTCATTAAATGACTTCTTTGCTGTGTTGAAGTATAACCATGGTCTGGTGTTAAAACTGATTTTAATAGAGATTCTGCATCTGCTAAATTTCGACGTTTCAATAATGCAGAAGCCTAAAAAACGTGGAAAATATGTTTTAAACAAATAAACAAGTTATATATATATATATATATATATATATATATATATATATATATATATATATATATATATATATATATATATATATATGGTTTCAATAATGAAAACAATAGTGCACCTTATGAAATTAAAATGAAACTGTGTGTAACAACACAGTTCATTTAGTTGTTTTATATGTACTAATTCAATAGAAAGAAATTTTTCGACACAAATTACCAATGTGTTTGTTTATTTATTTGTACATATAAATATTGGTACAAGAGGGCACAAGATACATAAGCACCACACGATAATAATGAGAATGGAAAGAGATAAGGAATATAAGGTGCGTGTGAAAAGAAAAAAAAGGAACAATGACGACCACAAATTAGTATATCAGTCAGTCAGTCAGTCAGCTACAACGTAGGACCAGGCACATATGTGCATCGGTCCAGGTTGCCATACCTCATTAGCACAGCAAGATGGACACCGGATTCATAGGAGTGGTTAGGTCAAAGGTGGTAATATATAGGAGAAAGATTGCAATAAGGATATAGTATAGGAAGAAAGAATTAGTTCGTAGAAAGAAAGATGTGAAGTGATCTTAATCTCTTAGTTTAAGGGAAGACAGAGTGCATACACCGACGCCATTGTGATCGATTCTGAGCCAGGTCACCAAGGGTCTCCAACCATTGGTTACGAAAGTCACGCCGACCCCAACCAAGTAGTTTGCATCTACCAACATGGCTCAGACTAGAAGTTAGTGACTTCAGGCACTGATGCCACGTTTTGGTTTGGCCGCCCCTAACTTTCTTCCAACCATCCCCTACACCGGTTAGCATTGCACGTCGCGGTAATCGGTGTTCAGGCATACGTAATACGTGGCCCAACCATCCCAGTCGATGAAGATTCATAACCTCATCAACTGATTTACCATCATTCCCTAATACCCTGCGTCTAACCTCACTATTACTTACCCGGTGATCCAGCAGATGCCAGCAATATTTCTAAGGCATCTGTGGTCAAATACTAGTAGCTTACGGGTGTCTTCTACTCTTAAGGGCCATGTTTCGCTGCCGTAAATTAAAACAGAACGGACTGCCGCGCAGTATACTCGTCCTTTTATTGATAGACGGATATCTCGCCTTCGCCAAAGGTGACGTAAGTTGGCAAAAGCCAAACGAGCCTTTCGAACCCATGCTGAGATTTCGTCAGACACCAACCCATTAGGGCTGATCAGACTTCCAAGATAGGTGAAGTTGTCAACGAGTTCGACTACTTCACTCCCTATCCTTAGTTCAGGTGTTGACACAGACCAGTCCTGAAGCAACAACTTGCATTTCGAGGGAGAGAAGCGCATCCCAAACATTCTGGCATTGTTGCTTAGTGCTACCAGAAGACTCTGCATTTTGTCAGCGTCTTCACCAAACAGGACTATGTACAAATTAGTATATGGTAGTGAAATAATAATAATAATAATAATAATAATAATAAGGGAAACAGAAAGGTACAATCAGAAAGAATTCTTTCAGTTAAAGAAGTTACGGTCACATTTTATGAAGAAAGTAAAAGAACGTTACAGCATGATCACCACTGGCTTCTAATCTGAGACACATCTGATAATGTCCCTAGCCACTGTGTTGTACCATCTCTAGGACCCCAACCACAGAGTCATGAAGGACCAATAGAAACCAGTTCTGTACAGCTTTCTTCAATATCACGACACCATGTCATACACTGACCATCTCTCCGCTTCTTCCAACCAGTCCCACTGTCGGCAAATAATGCAGGACATGGAAGTCTCTGCGACGACATTCGTAGAACATGTCCAAGCCACCGAAGTCGATGTTTCAAGATAGTGACACCAATTGCATTATCGTCCCTGCGCCCGAACACACGATGCCGAACCTCTGCATTACTAACATGGTGTTACCACTGGATGTGAGCAATCCTTCGGAGACAACGATGATCAAACACAGAGTCGTCTAACAACCTCAACTCGGAGAGGCCAGGTTTCACAGATTTCTCAAATTTGATGAGATGACAAATATCAATGTGTACTATATGAAGTTTACAAACTCTATCGCATACGACAATTTCAAAGGTGTTTTTATCTACCAACTAGTTGAATGAGAACAACATCCAAAGTTTATAAGAGATCCTATTATTTTATTTTACTACAGTCAAGGATGATTTATACAATTGGGATATCATCACATTGTCAGGTTCTATGAATACAAAAATTAACAGTACTAAGAAGTATTATACAACATTTCTGAAAGCTTACTAAATATTAATATTTATCATTATGTTGATTTTCTTTTAAGGCAGAAAAATATCTCTTCTAGTATTTTTTGTCTTTTTTATTTTATGAGACGTATCACTTGAACTATCGCTGTAATACTCCTCGTCCAGTCTTTAAACATTATTCTAGATATTGAATGATTTAGCTCAGAATCAATCGTAATGGTACAGATGTATTCACTTTTTGTTTCCGATTGGACCTCAAGTTCTGAAGCACTATTATACTATTCACTCCTTAAATTCACTATTTGTTCCCGAAGCATATTGTTTATCCCTGTTACTATTTCTAAAATCCTGACATTGACCTTGATAATTTCATTTCTGTTTATGTTGTAACAACTGGAACTCATGGATAAACGTACCAGAAGCTAAGTTACTCATAACTGACCAACGATAAAAATTGCTGCTCGTGTTGATATAAAAATGTAAGACCTCAATATTCTCAATTGGAAGAAGGATATTTTCGATGATGATACAATACACTAGTTGAAAGTACCATAAATATCCAACAATTGGGAAGTTGCATACAAATTTTATGTACAACATATGAGGTGTAAGAAGCTCTGAATTTATTATTGAAACAACTCAAATATGTATGACCCACGAGTAACAATCGTCGACTAGAAGATACAAACCAATAAATAAAGAAAAAAATATTCACTTATTTATTAGGACTGAAATCGATCTATCACAAGCTTACTAATAAAGATAATTAGCTTTTCAATTTTCGAAAAAAAAATACAGAAAACATTCGAGAACCTTTTGAATTATAAAATAAAAGCGAACTCTCAAAAAGCGAACATTCCACTTCTTCATATTGACAGTTTCTTTATTTCAAACCTACATACATACATCAAAATTTTGTTTGTTTGTTTTTTGATAAATTTTCAAAGAAAACCCCTTGGACCGAAAATCAAATAACAAACAACTTTTAGAAATTAACAAAACACAAAATCAACATACCAAATTGCTTTTGGCTTTTCGTATGATAGGTGATGAAGGCTTATGATGTTTGACATATATATCTAAGGCTCGTCGAAATGCAGATTCGACCTATTGAAACAGGTATAAACGAAACAGTAAACTATCAGTATAGGGTGGTGGATATCTTAATAAAAACAATAAACGCAAAAACCTGATAATTAGAAATAACGAAAAAAGTCATGTTAGTAGGAAGTGAGCATATGGAGGAATCGAAGTTCCTTTATTCACTTAATTTTTTTCTATCCTGGTAACCAGGCGATATAACTATGTATTATGAAATAGAAAGTATTCATGGTAAGTGTTATGGCCTTAGCTATGCAATTACCAATTTAAATACCCTAACTTATACGACCAAACTAATGACGCATACACCAGTACGAGCAGCCAAGAGTTCCGACTGGGTTTTTTCCCGCCTAGCTCCCTGCCTGTTAAGTCCAGAACGCCAGTCTCAGGCTCCGTGATATGAATCATATATTTAAAACATATTTGGTTTATATACAAGTAAAACCAGACCACATCACACCACAAACTAGAAAATAACATTTGTAAAAGATCAAGCCAAAACGTAGCCGTGATTGTGACTGTTACTAATAAATTCGGAATATCTCAAGAATGGTAAATCGTACGATAATAGTCTCTAGGTAAAATAAAAGCTTATAATGCAAAAAATATGAATACACATCTAATATAATTACGTAATAGTCATATAATAAAAATATATGTATAATCCATACGTAATTCCCAACCGTTACCATTAATTTGTTATCGTCCGGCGGCCTGCTTGAATATCTGGGCTACCTGTTCCTTCGATCTAGATATTTCTTCAAGTTATCTGTTTTGTTGTTTGTTTTAGCACATCAATATGTCTATTATGCTCACAATCTATTCGGGCGCGTTTATGAAAAGTTTACAACCTTTCGCTATACGGGATACAGAAAGGTACAATCAGCAACATCATGGTGACTGGCAATATGCAATGAAACGAATGAACATTAATCAAATGTGGATTACCGAATTCCTAACATCTAACTGGTCATCATTCGAAATTTATCGTCACAATCGATCAAGATATAAGAAAAAGAAACTTGTTGAAATACTTTATGCTGAGAATTCTATGTTGTACCAAAAGTATAATGTTGAATAAAGCTTCTTATAATAATAATAAATAATAATAACACTAAGATTTATCCGCAGTTTGAGAAGCTAAAATTTTATGATAAACTACAATGAACTGTGATAAATTCTTGAGTAGAGAGAAATATTCATTAACTGACTTCAAGTATATCTCTCCCTCACTCTAGTGCACATTCTATAAACAGATGTTGACAGTAATAAATGAAAGCTTTTACTCAATTCTTAGTATTCAATTCAAAAGCAGTTCAATCAACAATGATATTATAAATACAAGATCTAGAAATAACGAACACGACACTGTGAACAAATTTAAACAAAAAACACTTGTCATTAAGCAACTTAATAGCCAATATTTTCTACATTATTTAACTAAACGTTAAGGACACATGTACTGTGGAATCTGACACAAGTGTTTCGTTCTAATTAACACTTACTAGCTAGTCAAGTATTCTTGTAATTCGGCATTGATGTTCACCATTGGGACTTGAACTCAGTAGCTTTTGCTTCAAATGCTCAATGAGTTACCTATTGAGTTACTGAGTTCAGTTGAACATTATTTCAATTTACATATAACAACATTTAATTCAAACTTAATTACTATTAATAAAATGCTTACACATTCTAATCAACATTGCTTACAGCTTAGAAATCTGTTATACATAATACACAAATTTTTAGACATCAACAATGCATTTAATATTATTATTAGTTGTTGTCATTGTTGGTGTTACAGTACAAATACTTTCATTGAATTCAATTCATTCAAATCAAGGAAAAGGGCCCATTTAATTCGCTCTCTTAGACACGTAGACATTGATAACATAATTTATAGTTAAGGGATACAATGTAAAATCTTGAATAAATCGATTCAAATTAATATAAAATGTGAGATAAACAAATTAATTTCATAGAATCTATATAAAACAGAATGATGTACATAGTAATAATTATAATATTAAGTATATAGCAGTGTGTCCATAAGTTTTTACGGCATATGCACCGAAGCAAAATAAGAAAAAAAAGACTGACAGACTTAGAAATAACTGGTAACACATGAAAATATACACCACATTAAATACACATAAACATGGACATTAGTATAAACTGAACTTTACGTAAACAAATGAAAAGCTGAATATGTAGTTGATAGGAATAAAAGAATGAAATATGTACCGTGCTGCACTAATTTACTTTAAGTTATGATGAGAAAGGTGTTAATAACCGGAAAACTAGTTTCGATGACACTGATGAAATTAGATAGCTAACTGTTATAACTGTGAAGTCATTGCTGTTATATATGTATCGACCCGATTGAGTTCACAGTTTACCTGGTTTTACTTGACAGTCGGGAACTACTTCAATTCCTTTATCCTATAGCTTCAATACTAGGAAACAAGAACCATCATACTAACCAGGAATTAAAGTGAAGTTAAAAAAGACTGGTGTAAGTGAAGATATAAGGAATCAACAAGAAATTGTCTCCAAACAAGTTAAAAAATCACATCATCATCATATCACACTATTCAGTATGTTACGAATAACTTGGGAATAATAGTTCCTATATCTCTGTCATCAATTTTTCCATTTACGCCTACTAAATGTCCCTGTAACTCAACGCAGAACTGTCATTTAAATGACACCTTATATATTTTTTGTTACAATTAAAATAATTAGTTTTTTTTCACCTATTACCAATAATTTAGAAAGTAATAAGATCTAACGATAAACATTTTATGCTATATAGTATATAAACGAAGATATTTTGTTGAATTTGCTTTGTTCTAACTGTCCACTTTGGCTGTTATTGATCAGCAGTGTTTTCACTCTTTTCAAATATCCTGGATTCAATGTGTTCGAAAGATTACCAAACGCAAAATCACACAGTTGAAGATTTTCGATGTATTCAAACAACTGTGTTTGTATCTATTGTACAGCACATTTAGAAACCATTGGAACACTTTTATTTGTTTATTAGAATTTATTTAAAACAAGTATTGGTTAATTAACTCCGCCTGTAGCTCTAATAGGGTTACTGCCGGTCCCAAGCCCGGGTAAAGGAGGAGGGTTGGGCATGGGGTTAGCGTCCCCATCCCGTAGAAAACTAACTCGCTAAAAAAACGCTTACCAGAAAAAATAATCCAAACCATTTAAACTCTGCCCTGGGAGTTAGAAGGTCTTCAGTTAGAAGAATTATGACGCTTCATGGTGAAAGCCGAGTTCCTTCGGAAGCCACGAGGCCGATGCCCCTTCTAACAACCAGAGCAAAAATTTTTATAGGTACATGGAACGTTCGAACAATGTGGGAAACCGGGAAGACCAGTCAAATAGCAATGGAAATGAGGAGATACAACTTAGCAGTACTGGGAATCAGCGAAACCCACTGGACCCAAGCTGGACAGAAAAGGCTAGCTACGGGAGAGATGCTGCTATACTCCGGTCACGAAGAGGAAAATGCTCCACACACTCAGGGAGTCGCTCTTATGCTGTCCAAAGTAGCACGAAATGCACTTGTAGGATGGGAGTCTCACGGATCCAGAATCATCAAAGCATCATTCAAAACAAAGAAGGAGGGGATCTTAATGAATATTATCCAATGTTATGCACCCACCAATGATAGCAACGACGACATTAAAGATCAGTTCTACGAGCGGCTGCAGTCAATCATTGAGAAATGCCAAGAAAGGACCTAACTATTCTGATGGGAGATCTAAATGCCAAAGTCGGAATAGACAACACCGGATATGAAGATATCATGGGACGACATGGACTGGGACAGAGAAACGAAAATGGAGAAAGATTTGCAAATTTGTGTGCATTCAACAAATTGGTCATAGGAGGCACAATATTTCCACACAAGCGTATACACAAGGCTACATGGATCTCACCGGACCACACTACAGAGAACCAAATAGATCATATTTGCATCAACAAAAAATTCCGAAGGACAATGGAAGATGTGAGAACCAGGAGAGGTGCTGACGTAGCTTCAGATCACCACCTAGTTGTAGCCAATTTAAAACTGAAGCTAAAAAGAACTGGACAAGTGGACAAACAGCACTACAAAGGTTCAATACAGCCTTCCTTCGAGATACTGACAAACTCAATGAATTCAAGATAGCTCTCAACAACAGGTTCCAAGCCTTACAAGATCTACTGAAGGAAGAAGAAACTAGTATGGAGGACAACTGGAAAGGCATCAAGGAAGCATTAACTTCAACGTGTCAAGAGGTTCTGGGCCTAAAGAAACACCATCATAAGGAATGGATCTCTATAGAAACACTGGACAAGATCAAAGAAAGGAAGAACAAGAAGGCAGCAATTAACAACAGCCGAACACGAGCAGAGAAAGTCCAAGCACAAGCTGAATACATAGAAGCAAACAAACAAGTGAAGAGGAGCATTAGAGCCGACAAGAAGAAATACGTGGAAGAACTAGCAACGACGGCAGAAAAAGCTGCTAGAGAAGGAAATATGAAACAGCTTCACGATACAACGAAGAAACTAGCAGGGAAATACAGTAAACCAGAGAGGCCGGTCAAAGACAAAGAAGGCAAGCCAATCACCGAAATTCAACAACAGCGTAACAGATGGGTGAATACTTCGAGGAACTCCTGAATAGGCCGGCTCCAATGAATCCACCGGACATCGAAGCAGCACACATAGATCTTCCTATAGATGTCAACCCACCAACGACGGAAGAAATTAGAATGGCCGTCAGACAAATCAAGAACGGGAAAGCAGCAGGACCCGACAACATACCAGCTGAAGCACTGAAATCAGACATCGAAGCAACCACAAGCATGCTTACCTTCTATTCAAAAAGATTTGGGAGGAGGAACAAGTGCCGATGGACTGGAAAGAAGGACACCTCGTCAAGATTCCAAAGAAAGGAGATCTGAGCAAATGTGAAAACTACAGAGGCATTACACTACTGT